TATCGATTTTCTGACTGGAAAAGTTAGAAAGTCCTAGCAAAGTCCCCCCCCCCCCAGAGGTGTATCTTTAGACTCCTTCGCACAAGGGGAATGTTGGCAGGCTCCAAGCCAATGTATGTGGCTAAGTGTTTTGTGTGGAAAGTAAAGCAGAATTTTAAAACTGTCGGTTGAGCTACTCATAAAGCTGGAATTCAGGCTGCTACTAACTCTGCTATTTTAATATCTTAACAAAGAGGAGGTCTATGAATTAAAATACTTGATTAACACCCGTTTCAAAACATGTAGACTACTTGTATTCCTGACCACCTTGTCCAGCAACAAATCTGCAATCTTTCACTACAATTGACGTTTCACCATTTGGCATTAAAGTAAGACTATATGAATGTTTTTCCAAGACGGGGCTTCATAGCTTGTGCTAACTTGGAAAAATGTACAAAACAACGTACATTACATCAGGGTCAACCTGTGTGAATTCCTTTCATTCCATTCCCATGCATTTAACATGAATGTCAAACACTGAGTCCAACCAGCAAGTTTCCACGTATGGCTAACTGCATGTGGATCTAGAACTGGGAGATTTGCTTGACTAATATCGTGTTCTTGTCCTTATGCTGTTGAGGTAGTGTGACCCCTCTTGGTTGATATAACTCGGGTTTGGTTCACAGACTTTTCCCGTCATTCAACCACTTAATTATATTTCTCTCAACAATGTTAATTATCCTGTAATTGTCAGTCTAAATGAATTGGCTGCTGTTAGCTCCTATCAGTGCTGACATTATCTTGTTAGATAATGTTACTACAAAGTCTTTATCATTCCAGTGCCCTAAATCATGTGTCTGTATATTTATTTTGGGCTTAAAACAAAGAATAACAAACTAAACCTGGTGCAAACAAGTTATTATTCACTTTTCTTTCTAACTGTCAAAGCTTCTTCTTAGAAACAGTTAGAACACTTAAATGCTCTTGTAATGTGGAAACTATGATGACATTTTTCTAGGTATTTGTGTCCTTGCTTCAGTGTTTTCAAAAATGTTTTAATTGGATTTCCGCCATATCAATGTCCTATAAGCACCGAAAGATTAAAGACATAAACATGTGCCTCATTAGTATTATTTATCACGCTAAGGCTCTTGAGGCCAGGAGTGCACGGTGAGTGGGAACACTTAAAGGATCAAACCCTCTGTCATGGTTTCACAGGGCAGCCTGATTCATTGCTTTTGTCTGCCATGAGAGGGTTCTCCGGATGGTGGTGGGGGGTGGGCAGAGACACAGACAGACACTGTTTGGTATTCTCCTTCAGTCCTGTCGGGAGGCTTGTACTTCTCTCAGCTCTCACATGTTCCCGGCTCTGCGCTGTTTTTGAAGGGTCTACGTGAAGTCAACAGGGCCACTGCTTTGGCTCTCAGTGGG